CGCCACCACCCGAGCCGCACCCTCTCCCTACTCACCGCCCCCTCGGGCTCCCTCATCCCGCACCCCTTCGGCCACCCTCGGCTGGCCCCCCACCGGAACCAACCAGCTCTCCCCCACCTCCCTCGGACCACGGCTGCCCCCAACCCTCATGTCGGCACCATACGGATAAAGATGAACCGGCACCGTAGAGACCCGGACTTTAACGCAGAATTTATATGTATGCCCCAAAAGTCCACAAAAGAAGCAAAAGGAGTGTAACCGCTCGTACCTGAAGTTAATCCAACACGTGGACTTATCCCGTTTCAACAGTTTCATCCGCCTTCGTAACGGTTTGTCTACCGGGATCGAGACACGGATCCGGTAAAACGTTAGCCAATGCGCTCCTGAAAACCTTTCATCATGTTTAACAAAGGTTCCAATAAAGTTCCCCATCTGCTCAAGTATTGGTTGCGACGTATAACCCATGGGAACATCATGCAGTTGTACCCACATATCAACAGTGTTCAACACAACATCTACCGGAAGCACACTATCATCAACCAATCGGCACACTAGTGTATTGTTTTCAAACGCCCACGGACCACCATCCAGAACATAATCCACATCCGTTTTGTGGAAGAAAACAAATAAAAACAAGCCCTTATGTATTTCCGTTACCGTAACCCCCATCACCGGTTGCCAAACTGATGCCAATACCTGCCTCATGTATTCCAATTTTATCATCCGTGCCGTTAGAAACCTGCCCACAATACTCCAAGTCTGAATCGGCGGTTCAGAATCACCTGTTCCCTTCTCCTCCACAGGCACGAAGCAGTCGTCTTCTCCATCGATAGTAATTTCTGCCGTTCGTTCCGTCAGCTCATTCACATGCAGCGCCTGCTCTTCATCAGCCATGCTACGTCGTCGAAGAAGAAAGCGGTGCTGCCTTCCTTCGTATAATCACCAGCGTCGAAAACCAGCAAGATCTGCCGGAGAAAAGAGATCGGAGATGCAAAAGCCTAGTCAAACCCTAGGAGAGGATGCAAAACCCTAGAATTCTAGAGAGAGAATATAAAAAAAGTGGGATATATTTTTATTAGTTAGTTCTTACTTATGTGAGTTATGTCTATTTTGAGCACAAGTTCTTAAGAAAATAAAGAAGTGAAGCAAATTGTAGCTTCCAAGTACACGTTTAAGAATAGTACCTAATATAATCAATACACTAAAAAATTTAGATACATTAGTGTGTCTAATCTAAACTGCATTATTATATGCTGCAGGAGAGCCAAAAGCAATTCCATGGTCTGTTATAACACCTTTGAAGGCTGCTGCTGATGGATGGTGCCACATGGATATCCAAAAAGGTGATGTAGTTGCTTGGCCTACTAATTTGGGGTGGATGATGGGGCCTTGGTTGGTTTATGCTTCATTGCTAAATGGGGCATCCATGGCCTTGTATAACGGATCACCCCTTGGTTCTGGCTTTGCTAAGTTTGTACAGGTGAGCCTGTTGTTGTTTTAGATGTATAGTCGATGCTTTTTGTAGATTCTCTTTCACCTGCACACAGAGTACATCTTTACTCCAGTGCCGTGCCTAACCATTGAGAAGAAGTAGCAGGGAGGAGAGATTGAAACATCGTATTTGAATTCTCCCAGGAGCTTTATATTTGATAGTATCAGCCTTAAGCTTCAGTGTGTTCTATAATCATAATAACACTCATTAAAATTACTTTGTATATGCTAAAATCTTTTGACAACCTAATTTTCTATATAGTCGGACTGTCTTTTCAATCTTACTCATTTAATGTCCTGTAAATACATAGGATGCTAATGTAACCATGCTTGGTGTGATCCCTAGCATTGTGAGAACATGGAAAACTACAAATTGCACATCTGGCTTTGATTGGTCGACCATCCGGTAGGCTTATGATTGTAATCTTAGAGTTTGGATTTTCTTATATACATGCTATCATATTAGAAATGCATGCAGCTCACTTTCTTTACTCTTCCCTACCTTCTCCTTCAATTTTTTACATAATTAGTTGATGGCCAAGCATGCTGGACTATAATAAATGAATCAATTTAAAAACTGGCACTCTTTGTGTCGGCTAGACATGATTGTTGAATAAAGTCGAGTCAAAATAATCCTAATCTTTAGTCACGTTTACTTTGTTTCTCAATGGTGGCAGTTGCTTTGGCTCCACTGGTGAGGCATCCAGTGTGGATGAATATCTCTGGCTTATGGGAAGAGCTCAATACAAGCCTGTGATCGAGTACTGTGGTGGCACGGAAATTGGTGGAGGCTTCGTTACTGGTTCGTTATTGCAGCCTCAATCTTTGGCTGCATTTAGCACAGCAGCTATGGGATGTAGTCTCTTCATTATTGGCAAGGACGGGTCTCCGATTGTAAGCATTTGTTACTTTAACGTTTTATATGCATGTACCTAGTGTTTGCTTATTAGTTGATGTTCAACGTTCTGGATGCTCTCACAAAATGACTTTTAGTGAAACAACATGAAATATGTTGGTAACTTCTCGCTGCTATAATGTGAATGTTATTAACCTTTTCTTAGGGTCTGCTAATACTTTTCTCGATCTCCAGCCACCCGGTGTTCCTAGCATTGGTGAATTGGCCCTTGGCCCCTTCATATTTGGATCATCAAGCACACTGCTGAATGCAGACCACTACAAGGTTTATTTCAAAGGAATGCCTACTTGGAACGGGAAGGTATGAGGGTACGGAGATGTCAATTTCTCAGATTTTACACTCAACACTCGCTATAATTTCTTTCTTGTATGTAGGTCCTGAGAAGGCACGGAGATGTAATTGAGCGTACTTGTAGAGGGTATTACCGTGCACAGGGTCGAGCAGATGATACCATGAATCTGGGTGGTATCAAGGTCTCTTTTCACAACACTATTGCTAATCGTGCCAATGCATGTCGCCAATTCCTCTCCTGTAGTTTGCAAATTCATGTTCTATTACTTTACTTGCCAGGTTAGTTCACTTGAGATCGAGCGCATTTGCAATGCGGTTGATGATGATATCCTAGAGACTGCAGCCATTGGGGTGCCACCCGCTGGAGGTGGCCCCGAGAAGTTGGTAATTGTGGTCGTCTTCAAGGACGCAAACGAACCAAACCACAGTTTGAACAAATTGATGATTGCCTTCAACTCGGCTCTTCAAAAGAAACTGAACCCTCTTTTCAAGGTAATGCTACTGCTATTCTGATGGTTAGGGCATCCCCACCAGTGGTTTTTGAGAAAGCAAAGCTTAGGTGGAGGAGGGAGGGTGAGGAGAGAGAATAAAATGGTGTGTTGTAGGAAGCATTAGTTTTTGTCAGATCCAGTGGGGCCCATCGCAAAAAAAGAGAGTTGTCTCCTAGTGCACACCAGGCACGCCCAGCCGGGCGCATGCACTCCACGCGCCCGCTGGGTGCGTTAATCTATATATATATATATATATATATATATATATATATATATATATTTGCTTTTCAGATTTTGTTTTTATTTATTTATTTTGTTTTTTCCCTTCACTCTTATCTTCTCTTTCTTAGTCACACCTGTAAAAACTCCTCAAAAACTACAATTATTGGTGATGCTCTTATGCAACATGCAGGTTTCCAACATTGTAACACTCCCTTCCCTACCAAGAACTGCAACAAATAAAGTCATGCGTAGAGTTCTGAGGCAGCAATTTTCTGAGGCCAATAATGGTTTGTGAGTGTAGTTTTACAGTGGCAGTTGCCTGATTCATTTATGTGGCTGTTAATTTGTAGTTGTATTGTTATTCTGTTCTTACCCTTGGGCCTTGTAAAAGTAGTAGAGTACAGATTTTTTTTTTTTTTTTTTAAATTGGAAAACTGTAAACATTTGAAAATTAATCAAAGTGGGTTTATATGCTTGATTCAAATTAAATTGAAATTCAATAAAATGGTATCAAGTCAATTAGGTTGCAGGTTCAATTAGATTTTCGCTTTTAACATCAAAAAGTTAAAAAGGTGCTCTCCTAGGAGATTGTTTTTAGGAATATCCTAATACTAATTAGGATAAATTAATTATTACGGACTACTTAGGAAGAAAAATGTAATACTTAAGAAATGTGATACTTTTGAGGAAAAAAATTAATACTCATTATTTATGAGAAAAATTAGTACTAATAATGGATAGGTAAAAACTTGTCTAATCTTTGTCCGTAAGATGGGTCGGGTCAAGAAGAAATATAATACATATACGAGAAAGTGTAATAATACTTTTACATTTTGATTTAAAAGTATTACATTTTTCAACAAACATGGCCAACATTACTTATAGGGGGTGTTTGGTGCAGGTCATCTTAAATTACCTAAGTAATTGAGTCTGATATTAGGTGTCACTTACACAAGTCAAGGCAGTACAAGTAGTCAGCAAAGCAGTACAAGCAACAGTCTTCCTATTCTGTTATGTTAGTTATATGAGTTTGTTATAAGCAGTTTCAGAATAGCAATTTATTTCTTTTCTCTCCTTCTGTATATATACCTTCCATCTTCCTCTGTTAATCGATGATGAATACACTCTTTTTCCTTCTATCTTTCTTCAAGCAATTGGTCTTCCCTTAGTTGTTAATCTGCATCTCAGAAGTGCAACATGGTATCAGAGCTTTGAGAAGACAGTCTTGAAGCATATCTGAAATGGCAACGGCGTGGCCTTCGATTGGGGCAAGGACGACTCCGGCTGACAGTACGACAGGAGCTCCAGCAAGTGGGAGTTCGGCTCAATCCACTTCGATAACTGGACTGAATGCAACAGAGGTAACTTTCGACCCTCAATCTCAGCCGAACCCTTATTTTCTACATCCGAATGAGAATCCGGCATTAGTGCTGGTTTCTACGCCATTGGATGGTCCTAATTACCACCCATGGGCAAGGGCCATGACAATGGCATTGTCGTGCAAGAACAAGCTCAAATTTGTCGATGGATCTATCACCAAGCCATCAAGAGATGACTAGAAGTTTGATGCATGTGAGCGCTGTAATGATATGGTGGTCTCATGGATCGTTCGATCTCTTTCACCAACAATTGGGCGCAGTGTTCTTTGGATCGACACTGCATATGGAATATGGAGAGATCTCAAACGCAGATTCAGCCAGCAAGATCTTTTCAGAATCACAGAGATCAAGTGTGAGATATATCAGACAAAGCAAGGTGACAATTCTTTGAATGAGTACTTTACTCAAAAGAAACTGTTGTGGGACGAACTTCAGATTCTCAGGCCGTCTGTAGGATGTGAATGCATTACTAAATGCAATTGTGGAAAGAAAATTGATGAATTGAATGAGCAGACTGAAAAGGATAAGTTGTCCATTTTTCTCATTGGACTACATGACAGGTATACCGGCGCAAGAAATCAGATCATGTTAATGAGGCCTTTGCCGGATGTGTGTGATGCATACTCTATGATAGCACAGCAGGAGAGGCAATTTCACAGTGGTACCTCTGGAATTGCCAGCCAACTATATCAAACAGGAGAGGTTGGTACTACTGGAAATGTCCTGATGACTAGGACAGGCACTGGAAACCAACAAAGCTTCAAGAAATTTATAGGAGGTAACAAGAAGCCCATATGTACTTTTTGTGGTTTCACAGGGCACACAGAGGATAAATGTTATAAAAAACATGGGTATCCACCCGGTTGGAAACCAAGGTCAAGAAACAAAGGATCTGTAAACCATACTCAAGGGCCATTAGCAGCTCAGCAGTCTGATAAAGGTATATATTTCACACAAAATGATTTTAAGAAGTTTCTGGAGTTCATTCAGGTACAGAAAGCATGTGGAGAAAAGGGGTCCTTGAATACACCTCTTGATCAGTATCCTCATGAGGCACATGCCAACATCATCTCTGCCAACTTGCTGCCAGGAACTCAAACTGAAGATACATATCTTTCTCCTAATTCAACAGATTTCAGAAGTAATGAGTGGATATTAGATAGTGGTACAACTCATCATGTTGTGTGTAGTTTGAATCTGTTGACAAATCAAAGGAGGGTGCAAGATATGCATGTTAGCCTACCAAATGGACAGCAAGTAGCTATTACCTATATTGGATCTGTGTGCCTATCTGATGAGTTTATTCTATATGATATTTGATAATGTTATATTACCTTGTTTGGTCAAGTTATGAGATCACCTGGTAATGTTATATTACATTGTTTGGTGAGGTCACCTGGTAATGTTATATTACCTGAAAAGCTGATATGATGGTAATGTGATTACCCCCATTTTCTTAATTAATCTTATATTATCTTGAATTATTTCAACTTTGTCCTGGTTAACTACTAATAATAATAATAATAATAATAATAATAATAATAATAATAATAATAATGATGAAATAAATTTATGTTTATACAATCAAATATACATGTGTGTATATTTATATACGAAACATTTATTTTTTTCTTTTTACTATTTAAGCATTAATATATATTCATGCATATAAATAAATAAAATAAATACACACACATAACCAAACAAGGTAATATTATATTTCACAATCCAAACCAAACACATAAGGTAATCTTACATTTCCAAAATCACACATTATCTTCTATGTGTATTATGTTAAGAGTCTATGTGTATTCTATTAAGAGTTTATGTATATTTTGTTATGAGTTTATGCGTATTCTGTTATGAGTTTATGCATATTATGTATTATGTTAGATTATGTGTATTATGTTATGAGTTTATGTGTATTTTGTTAAGAGTTTATGTGTATTCTGTTATGAGTTTATGTACATTCGAAACAGGGGATTTAAAAAAAAAATAGTTAACGACAGAAACAAGAAATGAAATTTCTAAAAAAAACATATACAAAACGATGTCGTTTTGATCAGGGCGCACAATACATTATGTACTCTGATGCACGATATAATTTATCACATGAAGAAGGGTTGTTGAAAACAACTTAGTCAAATTGATTGAGCAGTTATTCAATAATAGTAATTTATTAGTTTTCTTGGTCTTTGTTGTCTTATGCAGCCCATGCTAACAAAACTTGGAAAAAAAAAAAAAAAAAGAAGTTAATAGTCACTATATGTAAAAAGATCGGTAATTAGGGACAATCCTAAGTTGGTTTTATAACCTCATAAATTATCTATGAACAACCTACTTTATTTATTTATCTCATTATATTATAATTCTTTATTATCTAAAATAATAAAACAAACTTCATCCAAATAGCATTCTTTTTTCTTAAAAGATAACTCCAAATAGCACTTTCAAATAATGCCTTTCGTTACACGTTAGTACAGACCAACTCTAAAAATAAAACAGTAATACAGCAAAATAAAGTATAAAAATGGCGAAGTACAAACCGTAAGCTCAGAGTCCCACGGCGTCTTCATCTCAGACGACCCTTCCCGGAAACAAATGGCTGATCACCGGAAATACAAAGGTTTGGACAAGATTACCGTCGCTGATATCGAATCTCTCGGCGTGTCATCCGAGCTTTCCCGCCAGCTACACAAAAAGCTCGCCGATATTGTGAGTGTTTACGGAGCTGCAACTCCCCAGACATGGCTGCGCATCTCCGGCGACCTGCTTACCCCAGAGCAACCTTTCTCGCTCCATCAGATGATGTACTATGGCTGCTACAAGGACTTCGGGCCCGACCCGCCTGTTTGGATCCCCGACCCGTGAGTTCGTTATCCCCTTTATTGAGTTCTCATTACGTGTAGATATTAGTACTTGTATGCGTATATATATAAATGTTTGTTAACTTTAAGAGTATATTTGGAATTCGTATTAATTTTGTGTGGTGCCCCAGGATTATAGTGATTTGTAAAGAGAAATTAAAGAAATAAAGTTTGATTGACAGAGAAATAGGAGAGTAAAAATGGATGGGTTTTCAACCCTTCTTCCCTCTTTATGTTGCAATCAGGTCAAAAATGGTGTTTGGTAAATGACTGTTAGATGATAGCTATTAGTTGATTGGGTTAGTAGGTTTGACTAGTTGATAGCATTAGCTGATGGTAGAAAAGTGTTTGGTAAATTAGCTGTTAGATGTTAGCAGATTACATACAAAATGATTTTCTCAAAAAACTGATAAAAAAAGTTACTTTGAGTAGCTTTTTGAATTTTAGTATTTTGGAACAATAAATTGTTACAAAAAGCTTATTAATCAAACACTCATATTGATTGTTTAACCAAGTCAAATTACTAATAGTGGTCAAATAAGCTAAAATTGGCTGATAGGCTAACTATTTTACCAAACAAGGCCAAAATATATTTGAGCCTGTCAGTTGTGGACAATTTAGGCTTATTCTTTGCTGGCTAGAGTTACAAGGTGAGATTACCCCTGCACCCTTGGTAGTGATTGTGGGTTCCCCTCATCAACCAAAAAAAATCAAAATAGGTTGGAAATGGAGGGTGGGTCAACCCGTATAACCCACTTTCGTGTATAGTATTTTTATTTTTTAGTACAAATTTCTTTTTTTTTTTTGTTTTTTTTTTTTTGTTAGACCAGAGGTGTCCTAAGCAGACCGTAGGAGGCACCTTTAAGCCCGTACCATACTCAAGACTAAAATTTGATATCATTTCTTTGAGGAACTTAAAATTTGAAGATTATTAAAAACTTGATATTATGAATCAAACAAACACGGTTGGATAATTAAGAGAGGCCGGAAGTTCAAAACCTCCTCTCTTATGGAACTTTACCCCTTAATTGGGCCGGCCCGATACGAACGGGATTAGTTTGAGTATGGTACAGGCTTAAAAGCCCCTCTTATACTTAGGGCCTACTCAGGACACCTTGTAGTCTAACAAAAAAAAAAAACTACTGTTGGATTGGTTCAGTCTTATGCAATAGTTTTATGGCCAACTAGTCCAAAGATGGCCAGTTGTATAAAAGTGACTTGCTCAGATGGGTTTAAAATGGACAGTTTGGACAAATTATCAAATTGATATCCATAATTGATAGTTTGATACACACAATATGTGCATTCTTGAGTGTAAATGAAAAACACATAAATTTGGTTTTGGGAATTGAGAAATGCAGGGAAAGTGTGAAATTAACCAACATAGGGAAGTTATTGGAGAGGCATGGGAAAGAGTTTTTGGGATCAAAGTATAAGGACCCCATATTGAGCTTTTCTGATTTTCAGAAATTTTCGGCCTCAAACCTTGAGGTTAGTTATTTGTTGTAATAGTAAATACGGAGTATATATTGTTAGTTGGTATACTGAGTTCTTTTACTTTTTTTTTTTTTTTTTTTGGGGGGGTGGGGGGGGGGGGGTTACTGTCAGGTCACGAGTAATCTTCTTTTGTTTTCTATCAGGCCTTCTGGAAAACTGCATTAGAAGAAATGAATGTTTCTTTCTCTGTTCCCCCGCAATGTATTTTGCGTGAGACTCCATCTCAACCGGGTGGTCAATGGCTTCCTGGAGCATACCTTAACCCTGCAAAAAATTGCTTGACATTGAATGGAAAGAGGAGTTTGAATGATACGGTTATTATATACCGAGATGAAGGAGATGATGAAACACCTGTTAAAAGGTTGACTCTTAAGGAGTTACAGTCTGCAGTCTGGTATGTTTATATTTCAAATTGTAATTGTATTATTTCTCGTTGTTTTAGTACCTTTTTTAGTGAGGTGAATCATGAATGGTTCCTTAATAGGGCAGTAGCACATGCTCTTGACACACTAGGCTTGGAGAAAGGATCTGCAGTTGCAATTGATATGCCAATGGATCCCACTTCCGTTGTGATCTACTTGGCTATTATTCTTGCTGGCTATGTAGTGGTGTCGGTTGCTGATAGTTTTGCACCAAAAGAGATATCAACAAGGCTCAAAATATCAAATGCAAAAGCAATTTTCACTCAGGTTCATCTCATCTGTCTTTATCGGGGCCCAAGTCTACTATTCCTTTTCCTAAATCCTAATCTTTGTAAACTATATGATTACGTATGATTTTGACCATACCCACTCTTATGATTACGTTACCAGGATTCCTTTTTCCGTGGTGGTAAATGGCTACCATTGTACAGGTGGGTGCTAACTTCTCCTTGTTCGTGCACTATATTAGTTATTCACTATGTTCATAACATTTATGTTAAAACTGCAGCAAAGTCATTGATGCTGAATCACCAATAGCAGTTGTAATTCCCAGTAGAAGCTCCAGGTCCACTGTGAAGTTGCGTGATGGTGACATTTCTTGGCATGTATTTTTAGAACGAGTAGAAAAGTCTAAGTAAGAAAATTTCTTCTCTGGGTTCCGCTCTGTGGTAGAATTTGATATTATGTTTGATCCAGTAGTTAGCTCTCTCTCCCAGAAATGTTCGCTTTTCATGTTAATTTCAGAGAATTTGAGTATGTTGGCATGGAACAACCTATTGAAGCCTTCACAAATATTCTCTTCTCCTCTGGCACAACAGGTACATTATAAGTGTAATTCATTGCCTATATGTTCTTGTCATTTCTTTGCCATGTTTGATTGATTTGCTAGAATTTTTCCTTAAATAACAATTTGAAAATGCTTAAATGCAACAGATGAGAAGTTTAATCATTTACTCACTCACCCTATGATCCAGGGGAGCCAAAGGCGGTTCCATGGACTGTTGCTACACCTTTCAAGGCAGCTGCTGATGGGTGGTCCAGCTTGGATATCCGCAAAGGTGATGTAGTAGCCTGGCCCACGAATCTTGGGTGGATGATGGGACCTTGGCTAATTTATGCTTCCCTGTTGAATGGTGCATCCATGGCCCTATATAATGGATCACCCCTTGGTTCTGGCTTTGCCAAGTTCATCCAGGTGAATCCATTCTTTCTTCCATCCTTAATCTTTTTCACCTGAGACTTTTCGTTGTCGATTTCTTGATTTAGATTGGACATACTGGAATTATTTGTATTTGAACTTTTATTATGAGTTAGTACCCAATTTAGTCCTCGACTATAGTGGTTTTTCTCGATTTAGTCCTAAACGTCTTTTTTTGTGCTTAATTAGGTCCTGGATTTTGATTATTTTACCTAATTGAGTCCTCGACTGTTAGAATCAATGATTAAATCGAGAAAAACCACTATCGTCGAGGAATAAATTGGGTAAAATCACTATAGTCGGGGACTAAATTGGGTAAATCACTTAACCACCACTATAGTCGAGGACTAAATTGTGTATTAATGGAGGGGAAATTACCAAGCTATCTTAACCGAGGACTCAATTAGGTAAAACTATCGAAGTCTAAGACCCAGTTAAGCACAAAAAAAGTCTAAGACTAAATTGAGAAAAACCACTATAGTCGAGGACTAAATTGGGTATTAACTCCCTAAAAAATATAGAACAATGGTTTCTTCTTAAGATATCATTGTGCATTTTACTTAATGTCTAAAATCTTCAAGTACCTTTTCTAGGATGCTAAAGTAACTATGCTCGGAGTTATACCAAGTATTGTAAGAACATGGAAAACTACAAATTGTACTGCATCTTATGATTGGTCAGCCATCCGGTATGTTTTGTGTTATATTGAGATTGTTTATTAACCTAGAACCCATATTACCTATGATTGATGTGTACCGTTTATTGTTTCTTTGTCTATCAATCCTTACTATGGAGTATTCTGATTTCTGAAATAACTTCCGCTACTGTTAAGCCTAGCATATTTATTTGGATCGTATTATGCAGTTGCTTTGCAACCACTGGCGAGGCATCTAATATGGATGAATGCCTATGGCTTATGGGGAGAGCTAAATACAAGCCTGTCATAGAGATTTGTGGCGGCACAGAAATCGGTGGTGGATTTATTTCTGGCTCACTTTTGCAGCCGCAATCTTTATCTGCTTTTAGCACTGCTTCTCTCGGCTGTAGGCTATTTATTCTCGGTGAAGATGGACGTCCTCTGGTAATAATACTTTCATTCTTGTATCTTAAATTATATTCAAGCTCTCAACTAAATCATGGTTCGTCAGTGCAATCCAATGCGTGCTTGCACCATATTCTTAGAAGACTTTTAACCCTAGAACATTAGCATTTTTTTCCTTTTATACCCTGCATTATTTGTTAATGATTTTTTTTTTTTCATTTGTAAAAAAATGCTAAAAATTTGAAAGAGGAATCCTAAAATAATTGTTTCCCAAATTTAATTTTCGCAATTTCAGCCATCAAATGTTCCCGGAATTGGTGAATTGGCCCTTGGGGCATACATGTTTGGGGCCTCAAGCTCACTACTAAATGCAGACCACTATGATGTCTACTTCAAAGGAATGCCTGCTTGGAATGGACAGGTGTGATATTTTTTTTGGGTGTAAATCACGACGTGATCCAGGTATTTCTCTGTCCGTTTAACGGTCCAAGTCTACCCGACTAATCCCCGTTCGCTCCGGGAGGCCATGAATTCTACTATTATACATTATACTACTAGTCTACTACATGAATTCTAAATTTCTAGTCTACCTTTTTTTTTTTTTTGGGTTAAATAGGTTCTAAGAAGGCATGGAGATGTATTTGAGCGAACTTCTAAAGGTTATTATCGTGCTCATGGCCGGGCTGATGACACTATGAATTTGGGTGGTGTCAAGGTCTACATCTACCCTCAAATTGTATTGTGCATGATTTTAAGTTGATTCTTAATTGAAGGATTTGTTCTGTTGTATTCTGTCTTTGCTAAAAGTTTAAGCTGATAGTTGAACTGATATCATTACAGTCTTCTTTTTTCTTTCTCCATCTTCCTTTCTTCTCGTATCTTTTTAAAAATGTGTTCTCTATTTGAATTGTTGAGAGACTTTTTTCGTGTTCACCAGGTAAGTTCAGTCGAGATTGAGCGTGTGTGTAACTCAATCGACGATGTCAACATTCTCGAGACAGCAGCCGTTGCGGTGCCACCACGGGGAGGTGGACCAGACATGCTAGCGATTGCAGTTGTGTTCAAAGATTCAGATGGCTCAAACTATGACTTGAACTCTCTGAGAATCTCTTTCAACTTGGCTCTTCAGAAGGAATTGAATCCTCTGTTCAAGGTACAGTATACTCTGCCCAAGCCAGCAGAACTGAAAGATGTGTTTCATCTCAACTAAAAATCAAAATTATCATTTAGATTGTATATTTATGTTTATATTTATATGCTCAACACACGCCACTCGTGTCCGGTGTCCCATTACCTTTGACATGGGATTGACTCCGATACTAAATTGAAACATATGTGTATCTCAACTAAAAGTTTAAACTGATAGTTGGATTACACATTTATGTTTATATATTGTTGCTCAACAAGCACTGCTTTTTATAAACTTCTCCGTTTTATCTTATTAGCTCGTAATAAAACTTTTGGCAGGTTTCGAAAGTTGTAGCGGTCCCCGCTCTCCCAAGAACAGCAACAAATAAAGTCATGAGAAGGCTTCTGCGGCAGCAGTTTTCTCATATCAGTTCTAATCTGTAATATATTGATTCTAAAAGGGCATTTGGTACTCAAGAAAGTTAATTTAAAAGGTGGAAAAAGGCTATTCATCTATCTTTTTTCCTCTCTTTTTTTGGTTTAATTTTTATACTTGCTCCACCCAGGGGTGATGGTTGGAAAGCCTGTTATGGATGATTTCAACTATGTTATTGATGAAAGCATGGAAAGCAGGGGTGGGTAGGGTTGCAAGCTAGACGAATTATCCATTGCGTTATTTATTGAGAAGATTGTAGATTGAATAGACCAAAATGCCATCATGCTTAATCATTAAAATAGATTTGTTAAGGGATAAAAAAATGGTTGTCACAATAATGTTAGGCCAACGGGAAATGTTTTGAAAAAAAAGATCGGGACTTAAAGTGAGATGACACTTACAAATTTATGACCAAAAAAAAAAAAAAGAATTAACTCTTATAACAAAAATGAGTTGAAACGATAGTAGTTAGGCTAAATAGACCGAAATGACCTCATGTTTAACATCATTTAAACAAACGGAGAATAAAAAATTATTATGCATGCCACAATAATGCTAGGACCTATGAGCGGGGGCGGACCCAGCATGGGGGCAGCTGTCCCCCCTCACTCCACCCCACCCCATATATAATCCTTGTATGTATATATGTATATATAGTACAAGTTTTAGTATAAGTATAATAAAATAGATAAAAGTTAACAAAAGATGATTAGATCAGGTGGTTTGGGTAGGTAGCAAAGTATTGATGTTATATTTTTTATGACAAATATTTCGTATTAATTAATTCTGAGATTTACACACATATATATAACTTTATTTTATATTAATAATGAGATGTGTTTATAATTTTTATGACTTTTATACTTCGTATTAATTAATTGTGAGATTTACACACATATATATAACTTCACACACACACACACACACACACACACACACACACACACACACACACACACACATATATATATATATATATATATATATATATATATATATATATATATAAAACTTTCTTTTATATTAATAATGAGATTTTTTTATAATGTATTTTTTATTCGAATTATTTTATCAAATTAATTATGTTTCATATTTTGTTATGAATATTTTTTATAAAGTTTTGATGTGTTTTATTTTCCGTCCACATCCAACAATATTTATGACTATACTTTTAAGTGTTTTATTTTTTATCAAACTATCTCTTTTGTTTTAATGCGTTTCGCTCCAACTGAAAAAAATTTCTAGGTCTGTCACTGTCTATGAGGAATATTTTTTTTAAAAAAGGTTAAAATTAGAAATCTAAAGACGACAAAAAAAATAACTCTTTTGAAATAACGCAATATTTTCGTACTATTTTATGTATTTGTAATAGTTTATTAAAATTATTTATAATTTTTTTTTTTTTTTTTTTGAAAGTTACTGGCTCTATTACATTGTAGTATCTGTTCATATACTTTCTCAACCTACTGAAACACAAAGAACCAATAACGCCTCCACTGAGGCTCGAACTTATAATCTTCCAAATGGAAGTCCAACCCGGATACCATTGGACCACATAGTCCTGGTAAATTATTTATAATTTAATTTTTAAAAAATAATTATTTTAGTTTTAGTGAATAAAACATGTTTTCAAAAAAATAAAAATAAAACATGTATTCAAAAACTGAATTGAAAGTTGTATAAAATGAATTTCAGTGTAAGTAATCAACTAATCACTATATATTGTGCAACGAACACCGTACTGCTATGTAAAGTAAAGTGTGTATAGTAGCCAACTACATACACACTCTTATATATCCTCCTCTCAGTCTCCAGGCCACCGACCAGCTAGGTTTTGTTGGCTAGTGGCTATCTTATCTTTTGATAATAATCTCTATTCTAATCATTAATTCATTCCTTGCTAATTTTTCCTATGATATGATCAGCATACAAGAGAGACACAAATTAAATGGCTTACGCGTCTGTAACTTCAATTTGTAAGATTTTCCCTAATAATATATATTATATATTATATATTAGGGCCTTAATTAAGTGGTGCAAGTTGACTAGGCTTATTAAGTGGTGTGGTTGGACTTAATAACTAGTAGTTGTTAGTCAACCAAACTCTGTGCCTAATATAATCCTGTATTGATGGGATACAGGAGGGTTGTTGTTAGCACATTCAGTTACGGTACTCAGACCGCTCAGTAGACACCAATACACCATCTAGGGTTCTGAGTCAGGTCTGAGGCAAAACATAGCTGACGGTCTACCGTTAAGAGGCAACACAACAGGAACATCAACTATGGCTGGAGATCTACATAGCTACGCTTCCGCTATCATACGAGGTCAGGTTTTTCGTATACTATGGTTTATTACAGTTAGACTATTGTATATCTAACATTTGGTATCAAGAGCCTTTATCAATCTCTGCCTGGTTGATTGTTTTGCCTAAAAACAATATTAATTTTTCATATACATCAAGATTTCGTATATGATTTTGGACTGTTGAAATTTAATTTCAGCATTAATAAGTACGATTTTAATTTCTTTTGGATTATGAAATTATCTATCGTGATTGTTGGAACTTACCATGACCGTATTTTGGCCGGAAAAATGGAGTGCGATTTATTCTCCGATTTCGAGTCTCCGATTTGCGTTTCGAGGCGACTCCAATTTGTGTTGCACGTTGCGATGCAGTTGTTTCGCTGTTGCTGTTCTGTTTTTTTCTCGGCACCGCATTGAAGGAGGTAACTCAGGTAAATTTGCACTTGTTTGAGAAAGGAGAAAAGGGAATGGGTAGGGCTTAGCCCCAAACCCGAATGCTCATATAATTATTAATATAGTATTTGGGCATGCTTAATTTTCCTTCCATAATCTCCTTATTTCATTTGGATTTTTGGTTTATTTTCAAATGAATTTTCTCTAACTTATTGATTATTAAATTATCATTCAATTTAATGCAAATACTAAATTTTAATTTGCTATTTGAATTTTAATTTAATATTAAGGTGCATGCTAAATTGTCTGAATAATTACAATTTATTTAAGATATATGGGTTAATAATATATTAATATGCAAATCCAAGAATGTTACGTATATTTATAAATTATTATTATAATTATACATTCATAAAAGCATGTATTAAAGTTGGATTTAGCATATTATTAACTCATAAATTCATTATTAATTATCACTCAATTTTGGATCCTTAGCCAAATTTTAGGCATTATGACCTACTAAATCAGCTTGTTTGGTTTCCCCTTAATTTTGAGCACATTTTAGTTTTATGTGTCTCTGGGACTTTAGAACTTATTTTGAACAAGCTATTTGGGACCTATCTTGGGTCATTAAAGCATGGATTCCACCTTTTTGATTGATATTTTAATGATAATTATAGCTCCTTATAACATGTTTATTAAGTTTTAATTATTACTAACTACCATATTTTGGTATTTATCGTTGGTAATAATATTAAGTTTTGGGTCTATTTCAGTACTTAGACCATTTTTATTCATGTTATAATTCACTTGGGTCATTGAGGTTTATGTGCCTAATTTGAGTGATTAAGTGCTATAATTATTATTTTGGCCTGTTTAGAGACATTAAGGATTTAATTGTTATTTTGGCCATTAAGAACTATAACTATTGTTTAAGTTGATTAATTTTTTAATCTATCAATAGTTTCAGGGCCTTAATAATAATATTAAGTCTTTAATTTTATGGCAAAAACAATATAGTTGGTATATTGTTTGTTTAATGGTAATTTGGTTATTACCTTAACTACAGTCTCCCTAAGTATCATAATAGTCATGGTTAATTATTATGTGATAAATTGAGATTAGTATTTGGCATCCCTTAATTACAGTTTTGCCATTTATTAAGTTAAAATTCGGCATTATTAATTACTGTTATTAAGTTTAGGGACTAATCTTATTTTATTACCTTTCATAATAATTATCATTTCATGGTAATCTGCTATATTTGGTACATTGGCATGATTACCACTTGATTTTACATGACTATTAATGTTGGTAATTAAGTCCTACCAATAAATCTTTTAACGTAACATTGGACGCTGCATCGAGTTTATTGACACCGATAGTGAAGATTGGGAGAATTCTGGAGTTTTTTCTTCTCTTGTGGATCATCATCGTTGTTAGCGCAATGGAGAGATGTGGTTTGCATCATTAAGGTTAGCCATTAATTATCTTTTACAGTTATTATTGATAATTAGTGCTACAGTTACAGTTAACCGCTAATTTAGACTAGTCGCATATTTTATCTTTAGGAAAATGGAAACATTAAAAGGTGCATTACCATACTTTGATTTGTCATTATTATTAATGTTAATAGTGATTATAATGTTACTTATTGCTATTAATAATTAATTAATGATGACATTAATATTGTTATGGTATTCAGTTATGCACCTTGAACTGTTTCCAAATAAATTTATGTGACAATATTCCAGTTCAGAAAATAATTTTCTGGACATTAATATTTTTCGGACTTCAAATTTTATTAAGTTTTCAAAATTTCCGAAAACGTTCATAAAGGTTAGCGGTTTTAACCATTGTTTTTCCATATTTAGTCTCCTACATAATGTGATAATATTATTATGGCTATTTATTGTTATTTTTGATTATTTTCAATTTTGCCATTAATAATAATAATATTATCAACTGGGTTATGGAGAGTGATTTTGAATCAATTTAGTAATCTTGGAAAAATATTTTTTCTAGGCAATTGACTTTTGCCATTAATTCCATAATTCATTTAGTTTTTTGAATTATGATTGCCCATATTTGGTTAAGTATGAATAAATGAATATTTTGTTTAAATTCATATTCGTTAGTTGGTTCATACTCCTTAGATTGTTTTATGCATTCGATCACATTAAGTGCATAATATTAAGTTTAATTATGCAATTAGGGTTTGTGAGATTTTGCTTTACAAATGATAGCATATCCTTTTGGTTTGATGTTGTTTGAAATTGTAAATTCAGTTATTTCTCATGAATTTGATCTTTATGCATTAAAACATTCTCCCATGGGTTTACAGTTTAAAAAAATTTTAAAGTATATATTCAATACATTATTATTCAAAATGTTGGGTCTCTTTTGGT